ACTCTGAGACAATCTCTGATTTCTATCTCTTCCAATCCAGTGGATGCAAATAAAAGGTCAAAAAATTACTACTTTCTTGTTAAGAAGTCTCCAAAATATTCTTTTTTCTATGAGCTAAATGCTGAAAACTTAAATCTCAAACAAAAGAGAGAAGACTTGACAAAACTTTACAAAATACAGCTTCACAGAAAGAGCCCTTGGTGGTTGAGTCTGCAGCAATGAGCCCATTCAACCTGTAACGAGTCTGCATTTGTGATCGTTACTACACAGAGGGGATCTTCGGACTCAAAATGGTCTGTTCGATAAGAGACTATGCCCGTAAGTACAACTGTGCCACACATACAGCACTGTGTCCCAAGCCTGCCCTCATTTCTTTACATTTTGAGTCAGACTTCCCTTTAATTTGTTTACACTGGTCTTGAGCAACAGCTCTGCAGGCTCTCTGAAGGTCTTTCAACATTTTTCTTATGACTTTGGCTGCCTTTCCACATATTTTCAGATCAGTCCTTGTAACAGACCAGTTTCACAGGAATGTTTTGTTGTGTGTTAACACTGACCTATGAATCATTTAAGCATGAAAAACCCACCTAACTCACAGGACCAATGTTGCGTCAATAAATAACACAACTTATCAAATATTTTAAATTCCGTATTTATGCACTTTGTTACTAGCAGCCTGTTACACCAGTACATAATTTGTTCCCAATTCTTTAGTTTGAAAAATACAGTCTGACAGACGTTAAATATTTTTGCACCAACAAAGTGATTCCTAAAGAGTTATTAGCTGAAAAATCAGCATCTCTCAGTCCTTAAAGATGTTTTGGAAACTATACAAGTGGCGGACAAAAGATGAAGTAGCCGACTTCAAAACAGAACAGAAATAAGCAGCAAAAACCCGACTCCGGATCTGCGAGATGCAACCGACCCTTCAGTTGATCTCAGGTTGGAGGCTTTGCCACAGTTTGGCGCTGCATTTCAACCGTGGTGTTGGACATCTTCTCAAAGCTGATGGAATTATGAGCACAGAGAAGTACTGTCAAATTATAACCCACCATGCAGTACGGCCAGGAAAGCGTTTGATTGATGACAGCTTTATTTTTCAGCATGCCAATTTTACCTAACAC